CAAGGTGTTGATGTGACCTGCAAGATAACGAGGGGTCCTACAAGGTGATGATGGGGCCTACAAGTTGGTGATGGGACCTACAAGGTGATGATGGGGCCTACAAGGTGATGATGGGGCCTACAGGTGGTGATGGGACCTACAAGGAGGTGATGGGACACATACACAGTATATACACACACATATAACACACAAATACAGTACATACACTGTACACTGTACATACACACACATGCAGTACAGACACACAAAAAACACATATAACATACAGTACATACACAGTAATATATAACAAAAAACATAAAAAAAACAAAAAACAAACAACACATAAAACAAAAAAAATAAAAAAAATAAAAAAAAAAAAAAAAAAAAAAAAAAAAAAAAAAAAAAAAAAAAAAAATAAAAAAAAAAAAAAAAAAAAAAAAAAAATAAAAAAAAAAAAAAAAAACAAAAAAACAAAAAAAAAAAAAAAAAAAAAAAAAAAAAAAAACAAAAAAAAAAAAAAAAAAAAAAAAAAAAAAAAAAAAAAAAAAAAAAAAAAAAAAAAAAAAAAAAAAAAAAAAAAAAAAAAAAAAAAAAACAAACGCAAAAAAAAAAAAAAAAAAAAAAAAAAAAAACAAAAAAAAAAAAAAAAAAAAAAAAAAAAAAATAAAAAAAAAAAAAAAAAAAAAAAAAAAAAAAAAAAAAAAAAAAAAAAAAAAAAAAAAAAAAAAAACATAAAAAAAAAAAAACAAAACAAAAAAAAAAAAAAAAAAAAAAAACAGATAAAAACCTTCTTCTTTTTAAAAAAAAAAAAAAAAAAAAAAAAAAAATAAAAAAAAAAATCAATGGCACCTGTTTGAACTTGTTATCAAAATAAAAGACACCTGTCCACAAAAAAAAACAGTCACAAAAAAACTCCACTATGGGGAAGACCAAAGAGCTGTCTAAGGACACCAGAAACAAAATTGTAGACCTGCACCAGGCTGGGAAGACTGAATCTGCAATAGGCAAGCAGCTTGGTGTGAACAAATCAAACTGTGGGAGCAATAATTAGAAAATGGAAGACATACAAGACCACTGATAATCTCTCTCGATCTGGGGCTCCACGCAAGATCTCACACCGTGGGGTCAAAATGATCACAGGAACGGTGAGCAAAATTCCCAGGACCACATGGGGGGGGACCTAGTGAATGACCTGCAGAGAGCTGGGACCAACGTAACAAAGGCTACCATCAGTAACACACTACGCCGCCAGGGACTCAGATCCTGCAGTGCCAGACGTGTCCCCCTGCTTAAGCCAGTACATGTCCGGGGCCCGTCTGAAGTTTGCTAGAGAGCATTTGGATGATCCAGAAGAGGATTGGGAGAATGTCATATGGTCAGATGAAACCAAAATAGAACTGTTTGGTAGAAACACAACTCGTCGTGTTTGGAGGAGAGAGAATGCTGAGTTGCATCCAAAGAACACCATACCTACTGTGAAGCATGGGGGTGGCAACATCATGCTTTGGGGCTGTTTCTCCGCAAAGGGACCAGGATGACTGATCCATGTACAGGACAGAATGAATGGGGCCATGTATCGTGAGATTTTGGGTGCAAACCTCCTTCCATCAGCAAGGGCATTGAAGATGAAACGTGGCTGGGTCTTCCAACATGACAATGATCCCAAACATACCGCCCGGGCAACGAAGGAGTGGCTTCGTAAGAAGCATTCAAGGTCCTGGAGTGGCCTAGCCAGTCTCCAGATCTCAACCCCATAGAAAAACCTTTGGAGGGAGTTGAAAGTCCGTGTTGCCCAGCGACAGCCCCAAAACATCACTGCTCTAGAGGAGATCTGCATGGAGGAGGAGATCTGCATGAAGGATGGGCCAACATACCAGCAACAGTGTGTGCCAACCTTGTGAAGACTTACAGGACACGTCTGACCTCTGTCATTGCCAACAAAGGATATATAACAAAGTATTGACATGAACTTTTCATATTCACCAAATACTTATTTTCCACCATAATTTGCAAATAAATTCTTTCCAGATCAGCCAATGTGATTGTCTGGATTTGTTTTCTCATTTTGTCTCTCATAGTTGAGGTCTCCCTATGATGCCAATTACAGGCCTCTCTCATCTTTGTAAGTGGGAGAACTTGCACAATTGATGGCGGACTAAATACTTTTTTGCCCCACTGTACAATACATACACACACATATAACATAAACATAAAAAATACATACTGAACTTTTCTTCACTGCACTGTAGGGGGAGGCAGAGAGCAGATTCCCCAGACGGCTCTCGCATGCTTTCCCTTCCCTATGTGGGATCGGTGTGTGGGATCGGTGTGGGATCGGTACATGGGATCGGTGTAGGATCGGTGAGTGGGATCGGTGTAGGATCGGTGCGTGGGATCGGTGTAGGATCGGTGCGTGGGATCGGTGTGGGATCGGTGCATGGGATCGGTGTAGGATCGGTGCGTGGGATCGGTGTGGGATCGGTGTGGAATCGGAGCGTGGGATCAGTGTGGGATCAGTGCATGGGATCTGTGTGGGATCGGTGCATGGGATCGGTGTAGGATCGGTGCGTGGGATCGGTGTGGGATCGGTGCATGGGATCGGTGTGGGATCGGTGTGTGGGATCGGTATGGGATCGGTGTAGGATCGGTGTGGGATCGGTGCGTGGGATCGGTGTAGGATCGGTGTGGGATCGGTGCGTGGGATCGGTGTAGGATCGGTGCGTGGGATCGGACAGCTTGGCCTTGTGTGGCAGTCACAACAACCAGCTAAAACTATGCAATGTAAATGAAGAGATGTCATCACAGAGTCTCTTTGCTTCTCAATGCAATGCAGGCAGATCATGGCTAGTGGGAGGGGTCAGCAGGGTGCTGTACATAGCTCCCTGAAAACATCTCAGCATCCGGCCTCCGTACCCCTCCCCGGAGCCCCCAGTCCTGATGCAAGCAGTGGGCTGGCTGTTGGGAGCAGTTATGCAAATACCTAAAGGCATCCATCAATGGGTGTCAGTCTTGGGAATAAAAAAGGTGACACCCTGGGCCAGTGAGGAAGGCTGAACCAAGGCATGGAGATCAGGTGACAACTTACAAGTGTACAAACGCACACGTTCCTGCATTAAAAATGGCGGTGTGTATAAGTGGGTGCTGCAGCGACCGTCGGCTGGAACTGAACAGAATCAGCAAGGAAGAAATGTCACCAGCACACCGAGGATCACCAATGCGGGTCCAAAGGTTTTAATAGACGATCACATGGTTACAGCAAGGCAACGTTTCGGAGTCTCGCAGGACCCCTTCATCAGGCATGTGACCTGCCTGATGAAGCGGTCCTGCGAGACTCCGAAACGTTCCCACACATCTATTAAAACCTTTGGACCCATATTGGTGATCCTCGGTGTGCTGGTGACATTTTTTCCTAGGTGACAACTTGGTCTGCACCAGAGCGCCCAATAAAGGGTGATGGGCTAGAGACCGTAGTGGCCTCTGGGGTACCTTGCTGCAAGCTGGCACCATGTTGTGGCTCTCAGGGCGGCCATACCAAGGAGCAATATGGAGGAAACAGGAGGAGATAGAAAGGAAGGTTGGTGTCCAGGAAGAGGTCATGGAGGTAGTAGGCAGGGGGCATGCAAGAGAATACCAGGAGCAAAGTCAGCAACAGGAGCTTAAGACACGAGCAGAGCATGCAACACGAGCAGAGACGAGACACGAGCAGAGATGAGACACGAGCAGACACAAGACACATGCAGAGCAGGGGACACGAGCAAAGCGTGAGCCATAAGCAGAGCACGAGACACGAGCAGAGACGAGACACGAGCAGAGAAGTGACACGAGCAGAGAAGAGACAAGAGCAGACACAAGACACAAGCAGAGCAGGAGACACGAGCAAAGCGTGAGCCATAAGCAGAGCACGAGACATGAGCAGAGACGAGACACGTGCAGAGCAGGAGATACGAGCAAAGAGAGAGCCACGAGCAGAGACGAGACACGAGCAGAGCGGGAGACACAAGCAAAGCACGAGCCACAAGCAGAGCGCCAGACATGAGCAGAGCTCCAGACACGAGCAGAGCTCCAGACACGAGCAGAGCGCCAGACGTGAGCAGAGCATGAGACATGTGCAGGGCGTGAGACATGAGCAGAGCAGCAACACGAGCAGAGCACCAGACACGAGCAGAGAAGAGACACGAGTAGAGATGAGACAGGAGCAGAGACAAGACACGAGCAGAGCAGGAGACACGAGCAAAGTGTGAGCCATGAGCAGAGACGAGACACACGCGCAGAGATGAGACACGAGCAGAGCAGGAGACCTGAGCAAAGCGCGAGCCATGAGCAGAGACGAGACACGAGCAGAGACGAGACATGAGCAGAACCGGAGACACGAGCAAAGCGCGAGCCACGAGCAGAGCACCAGACATGAGCAGAGCTCCAGACACGAGCAGAGCACCAGACACGAGCAGAGCCCGGCTATTCACACAGGTGTAACTGGAAGCTTGTAGGCCTCAATGCAAAAGTTGACCTGGGGTCCCCCACCACCACTGGCCGCTTCCACCGCACGCCAACATATGTGAAGGTATTTCAGATCTTTCTTAACATATAGAGCTCCCTCTAATTCACAAGATTTTGGAGAAGCCGTCCACATCTAGACACGCCTCTCTGATTATTCTGAATACTTGTCAGCAGAGCTCGGGGTAGAATGTAGAAAAGTCTGCAGGAATCCACTACAACCTTTTATTTCCACCCCCCCCCCTCCCCGTGAAATCATTCAACTCTCTTTTCCTCTCCTATTATCTGTCTTCCCCCCTCCCTCTCCTATTCTCATCTCTCTCCCTTCCTCCCCCCCCTCTCTCTCTCTCCCTTTCCCCTTTTATAACAAAGTGGAAGCAACTGGGATCAACAGCAACTCAGCCACCAAGTGCTAGGCCACGTCACATGACAGGGCGGGGTCAGCGCATGCTGTGGAAGACTGGAGGGGAGGAGCTGGAACAACTGTGCAAGACTGAAGGGGAGGGGCCGGTACACCTGTGCAAGACTGAAGGGGAGGAGCCGGTACACCTGTGCAAGACTGAAGGGGAGGAGCCGGTACACCTGTGCAAGACTGAAGGGGAGGAGCCAGTACACCTGTGCAAGACTGAAGGGGAGGAGCAGCTACACCTGTACAACACTGAAGGGGAGGAGCAGGTACACCTGTACAACACTGAAGGGGAGGAGCCGGTACACCTGTGCAAGACTGAAAGGGAGGAGCCGCTACACCTGTGCAAGACTGAAGGGGAGGAGCCGGTACAATTGTGCAAGACTGAAGGGGAGGAGCCGGTACACCTGCGCAAGACTGAAGGGGAGGAGCCAGTACAACTGTGCAAGACTGAAGGGGAGGAGTCGGTACACCTGTGCAAGACTGAAGGGGAGGAGCCGGTACAACTGTGCAAGACTGAAGGGGAGGAGCTGGAACAACTGTGCAAGGCTGAAGTAGAGGAGCCGGTACACCTGTACAACACTGAAGGGGAGGAATGGTACGCCTGTGCAAGACTGAAGGGGAGGAGTTGGTACACCTGTGCAAGACTGAAGGGGAGGAGCCGGTACACCTGTGCAAGACTGAAGGGGAGGAGCTGGTACACCTGTGCAAGACTGAAGGGGAGGAGCCAGTACAACTGTACAAGACTGAAGGGGAGGAGCCGGTACACCTGTGGAAGACTGAAGGGGAGGAGCTGGTACACCTGTGCAAGACTGAAGGGGAGGAGCCGGTACACCTGTGCAAGACTGAAGGGGAGGAGCCGGTACCTGTGGAAGATTAAAGGGGAGGAGCCAGTACACCTGTGCAAGACTGAAGGGGAGGAGCCGGTACACCTGTGGAAGATTAAAGGGGAGGAGCCAGAACACCTGTGCAAGACTGAAGGGGAGGAGCCGGTACACCTGTGCAAGACTGAAGGGGAGGAGCCGGTACACCCGTGGAAGACTGAAGGGGAGGAGTCGGTACACCTGTAGAAGACTGATGCACATGATGCTATTCCTCTTTGGATATTCTCCCGGCAGTCCTCCATGCAGAGGTGATGATGTCAGCATACGGTGTGATCAGAGGATGGCGGGATACCGTGCTGAATATATCAAGGTTTTATTTTTTAGGCAGGTACATATAATTTTGTCTTGCTAGAGCCGTTTTTTTCAGGGGTGTAAACATACAGTTTTTGATTACCTCAGTTTTTTCGCCGGTGCCTGAAGGCGATGGTTGCTGCTGTGCAGCTCTCAGCACAATGCTACCAGGAATCTCGGGGGTTCCAGCAAGGGATGAGGAGATTGGTGTCATCTAGATCCATTCCTACAGGGGTATTGCTTAAGAGAACAGTACCTGGACCAGGGGCGGACTGACAACTCATGGGGCCCCCGGGCAATAGGGGATCATGGAGTCCCTGTGTCCTTGCCCAAACTCAAAAAAGCCTATGAAAAAGGTACCAGGGGCATCTCATGGGGCCCCCTACTGACTCCGGGCCCTCGGGCAGTGCCCGAGTTTCCAAATGGTCAGTCCGCCCCTGACCTGGACCCTAGTGTGGATGAAGAGGGTAAGACACATGTTTTTGGCCTGTAATGCGACCATTCGGTGCTGGATCCTGCGTACCAGGGGTGGACTGACCATTCAAGTACTCGGGCACTGCCCGAGGGCCTGGGGTCAGTAAGGGGCCCCATGAGATACCCCTGGTACCTTTCATAGGCTTTTTTGGGTGTGGTTTGATCTCCTATTGCCCGTGGGTCCCATGAGCTGTCAGTCCGCCCCTGCTGCGTACATTGCCTTGAAAAAGTCTTCACACCCCTTCAAATTTTCCCCATGTTGTCATGTTGTACCAGGGGCGGACTGACCATTCAAGCACTCGGGCACTGTCCGAGGGCCCGGAGTCAGTAGGGGGCCCCATGAGATACCTCTGGTACCTTTCATAGGCTTTTTTGGGTGTGGTTTGATCTCCTATTGCCCAGGGGCCCCATGAATTGTCAGTCCGCCCCTGCTGCGTACATTGCCTTGAAAAAGACTTCACACCCCTTCAAATATTCCCCATGTTGTCATGTTACAACCAAAAATATAAATGTATTTATTGGGATTGGATGTGATAGACCGACACAAAGTGGCACCTAATTGTGAAGTGGAAGGAAAATGAGAAATGGTTTCCAACATTTGTGACCAATAAATCTGTGAAAAGTGTGGCGGCATTTGTATTCAGCCCCCTTTACTCTGATACCCCGAACTAAAATCCAGTGGAACCAATTGCCTTCAGAAGTCACCTAATTAGTAAATAGAGCCCCCCCGTGTGTCATGTGATCTCAGTATAAATACAAATATTCTGTGGAGCCCTCAGAGGCCTTTTCTAGTGCTTGGGCTCTGTCCTACGGGGTGCAGGGAATGTGGGGTTGTGGTTTTGAAGTGTTTTTGTGCACTTTGTTTTAACTACATGCCGCCCAGCCACTGTACATATACGGCGGCAGGGCGGCACTCGCAGGCAAAAACCACGTTTTAAAATGTGTGTTTTGTAAACAAATAGGGGGCGCGCGATGCGCGCCGCCACCCTATCTGTCCCGCGGATCACCGCCGCAGATGTCAGTCGCCGGGTCACAGCCGCTCCTTAGCGGCTATGTCCCGGCGATCGGCGGCAAACAGTGACAGAGAGCACAGCTGCAGTAGCTGTGCTGTCTGTCACTTCCCTGTCAGCTCGAGGATGTGCTGATCGAGAAAGAACAGTTTCTCTTTCTTGATCAGCCTTGTCCCGCCCAGTACACACCCCCGCCCCGCCCCCCTAGTAAAACACTCCCCCTCACTCCTATAACCCTTCCCTGCAAAATAAAGTTAACCCCTTCCTCCCCAGTGCCATTAGTACAGTGTCAGTGTTTTTTTTTTTGCACTGATCACTGTATTAGTGTTTTTGGGGATATCAGTGACCCCAAGTCAGTACCCCCCAATGTCAGAATGTCCGCCGCAGTCCCGCCATAATTCGCTGATCGCCGCCATTATTAGTATAAAAAAAACCCTAAAAATCCCAGTATCTTTCCCGCCATTTGTAAACGCTATAACTTTCACGTAAACCAATTAATTTACACGTATTGGGATTTTTTTTTTAGCAAAGACATGTCGCAGAATGCATTTTGGCAGAAATTTATGACTAAATTTGATTTTTGCATTTTTTTTTTTTACTGGACATGTTTTATAGCAAAAAGTCCAAAATATTTTTTTTTTTCCTCAAAATTGTTTTTTTTATAGCGCAAAAAATAAAAACCGCACAGGCGATCAAATACCACCGAAAGAAAGCTCAATTTGTGGGAAAAAAAGGATGTAAATTTCATTTATGTACCGTATTGCATGACCGCGCAATTGTCCGTTAAACTAGCGCAGCGCTGTATAGCAGAAAAATGGCGTAAATTGCAGTATCTATCCCATAGTTTGTAGACGCTATAACTTCACACAAAGCAATCAATATACACTTACTTACGGGGATTTTTTTACCAAAAACATGGAGCAGAATACATTTTGGCCTAAATTTATAACCAACTTTGAGTTTACTATATATTTTTTATAGCTGAAAGTAAAAAATATTGTTTTTCTTCAAAATTTTTAGCCTTTTTTTGTTTTATAGCGTGAAAAAATAAAAAGCGCACAGGTGATCAAATACCACCGAAAGAAAGCTCTATTTGTGTGAAAAAAAAGGACGTAAATTTCGTTTGGGTTCAGCGTTGCATGACCGCGCAATTATCAGTTGAATTTAGTGCAGCGCCGAGTAGCAAAAAGAGGCGTGGTCATTAAGGGGGGTAAATCCTCAGAAGGGGGAGGGGTTAACATTTTATTAAGCTTTTTAAGTGCAGTGTTGTACTACTGGCCAGTGTGTACAAAGTGGAGGGCTTTAGCTTTACTTTTTGTTTCCTATAGCTGTTAGATGTGATTTAGGTGAGACTTCCACTGGTCAGACCTGTTACTGTTGGATAAAAGAAATGAGGTGTCCCGGCCAAAACTGCCTATAAAAACCTTTTTTCCCCAGCTGTAATGAATCGAGGTGCGGCTGCTGTATTTAAGGTGATATTACACCCTCTGTTTTTAATCACTTTTAGCGGCTGATTTAATCACTTACTGACCATGCAGCTTTTTCTATCTTTAGTTCTTGTTCCAGTTTAAGTTAGTGCCATAACCACTGCCTCAGGTTTCCTGTTTCAGGACGGCTCCTTTCTCTTGCAACACCCTAGGGAGCCACCCTTGGATGCAGGGACTAGAGTTGTTTCTCCCTACACTGTGTGCATCAATAGAAACACACAGCCCCATAGCATAGGATGGCAAGGCACTCCCCTGCTCCTCCCTCCTTGCTCCCCGCTCCCTCCTCCGAGCTTATAGACTGAACCCACACTGTGCTATCCAATGTTAACTCTTTCCTGTGAAATTCAGAGAAGCGGCACTGAGAGAGCAGGGACCATCAGCACTGAAAATTGTACTGTTCCTTAATACTGTGTACACCTTAAAGGTATCTCCCAAGAAGGTAATCGAACCCTTTCACTGCCAACCCGAACCGTGGATAAGGGGGTACCACCAGTCCTCCTTTACGGGGCCCAGGCAGTTGGGTGAATCGGATGTGGGCATGGAGGGTGATCAGCACAGAGTAGGGAAACAATTACTGGAACCGATCCCCTGTACGGCTCTCTCTGCAGCAGCTGAAAGACGGCTTCTTCTCCTCTATCGTCTGCTGGCGTTCAGCTGCTGCAGAGAGTGCCAACAGGGGATCAGTTCCAGTGATTGGTCTGGTAAATATGTCACATTCACCAGCCCCTTTCATTCCTGAATGTATACAATGAGGGATCGGTATTGATCACTGACTGTGTTCATTCATAACTGAAGCATAATAAAATGTTTTTTTTTTAATTTGGGTAAGCGGGTACCACCAGTCCTCCTTTACAGGGCCCAGGCCAGCAGGGGGGTCCAGGCAGCTGGGTGAATCGGATGTGGGCAGGCAGGGTGATCAGCAAATTGTGGAAACAATTACTGGAACCGATCCCCTGTATGGCTGTCTCTGTGGCAGCTGAAAACTGTCTTCTTCCCCTCTATCGTCTGCTGGCTTTCAGCTGCTGCAGAGAGTGCCAACAGGGGATCAGATCCAGTAATTGTTCCCCCTGCTGTTCTGGTAAATATGTCACATTCACCAGCCCCTTTCATTCCTGAATGAATACAATGAGTGATCAGTACTGATCACTTGCTGTGTTCATTCATAACTGAAGCATAATAAAATGTTTTTTTTTTTATTTTATTTGGATAAGGGGGTACCACCAGTCCTCTTTTAAACGGCCCAGTCAGTTGGGTGAATCGGATGTGGGCAGGCAGGGTGATCAGCACAGTTGGGAAATATTTACTGGAACCGATCCCCTGTATGGCTCTCTCTGTGGCAGCTGAAAACTGTCTTCTTCTCCTCTATCGTCTGCTGGCTTTCAGCTGCTGCAGAGAGTGCCAACAGGGGATCAGATCCAGTAATTGTTCCCCCTGCTGTTCTGGTAAATATGTCACATTCACCAGCCCCTTTCATTCCTGAATGAATACAATGAGTGATCAGTACTGATCACTTGCTGTGTTCATTCATAACTGAAGCATAATAAATTGTTGTTTTTTTAAATTTGGATAAGGGGCTACCACCAGTCCTCTTTTACGGGGCCTAGGCCAGCAGAAGGGCCCAGGCAGCTGGGTGAATCGGAAACAATTACTGGAACCAATCCCCTGTATGGCTGTCTCTGTGGCAGCTGAAAACTGTCTTCTTCTCCTCTATCGTCTGCTGGCTTTCAGCTGCTGCTGCAGAGAGTGCCAACTGGGGACTCCAGTAATTGGTCAGGTAAATACTGTATGTCACATTCACCAGCCCCTTTCATTCCTGAATGAATACAATGAGTGATCGTACTGATCACTCACTGTGTTCATTTA